CGTAAGGCTGTTTGTGTGGAGAGGAAGTGGGTGCATAGTGCAAGCATGATGTTGATTACACGCCTACACATATCACCCGTTCTTGCTTTCCTTGAGGCTGACAACCGGCAGTCAGACAGGATTTATTGCTTTATGTCTCGACTGAAAAGCCTAAAAAGGAACCTGAGAAGGTGTTTCAAATAAATCTATGAATATATTCAAATGATGAAACACTACAGGCTGGACCACATACAGCATTTGATACTTGACATTGAATAGTGAGGCAGTTTGAAAGACAATAAAAACACAATGATTTGATGCTATCTTTGTGGTTTCTTCTGCAAAGATGTGTCCAATTCTAGTCATCTTTAAAAGCATCACTGATGGTTGTTTTTCATACCAGGCATATAGTCGATCCACTGGAAGTCTATCGACAGCAAATTTGATAAGCGTGTAATCATTTAAGCCATTTTCTCAAGCAAAAAGGGGAAATATTTTATGTTTCTACCCTCTCAAATGACATGATATGCTGCTTTCCTCTATATTACATAATTGTCATTTTAATTTTTTGGGCAACTGGACTGTTGTTTGGACGGAATGATCAGTTTGAAGACATCAAATTGGACTGTAATCGGCATTCAGCATTATTTTATTTATTGACAAAATGTTTAACTGATTAGTCTAAATTAATGCTGAAGAGGGTAATCGATAATGAAAATAATCATTAGTTGCAGCCCTACTATCGCGACTCTTTCTTTGACACTCTTCTTTGGGGGGGTAATCTCATTCCATCTGTTTTTTCACAAAGCATCCAGAGAGAAAACAGCCCGGCACAAAAGGCTTTGCTGCAGCTGAGACTCATCCACCGGCCCCGTCTCCCCGTCTCCATGCTGAAAACAGGCCGCTAATGTTTTCGTGGTGCGAGCGTGCATGTGCTGTGTGTGGGCGGAGGGCTGAGTTCTATGGCTGGAATGCTGGAGGGGAACTGAGTGACAGGTTTGGACTCCGGTAGGTAGGCAGGGCAGGGGAACATGTCGTCTGTGACATCACCACCACCCTAAGGCTCGGCTGGGCCAGTTGCCTGCTGCAGAGGTGGAGTTTCCTTCCTAGTGAGCCGACCGGGGCTGAGTGTGGCCTGACTCACCTTGCCACCGACATCTAAACTGTGCTGCTGCTTGATTCTGCCGGCTTTTGGATTTGTCTCTCTCTCTGTTTTACTTTGTTCTCTTAATCCACCAATTGTGCTGCTTTGTACAGTGCGCTTATCCAACAATTTTCTTTTAGCAGAGGAGAAAAATCCAAGGATGTTGGTTATCCTGGATTTACAGCTCACAAATGATGGTGGTCATGTCAGCACTGGCCTAATGATTGCCGGAGTGAAGCTTGAGTTTTGTTTCTAGCTGTTGTTGGCTCTGTTTAAACACTAATTCACCTCAGCTCTGCAAAGTTGCTGCAGGACACTTCTGCTGTCAATGCCTCAACTTGTGCTGAGTGCACTTAGATAATTTATATGAGAAGAGGGCTTTTAGTAGTGAATGTTTTAAGATCTAGTGCACACAGGCCACTGTGGACCATCTGTGTGTGTTGGACCGTGTGTGTGTGTGTAAACTACACTCACACTTTAAGAGCTGATCTGTTGACCCCATTGTGAGTGTCAGCTGTCTCCTTATGACAGCTGTCCAATGTTTTCATGGAAATCTGTCTAGGAATCCGTCTGCCCCTCAGTACCTGTACACTGCCGTCCCTGCTTCTCCTGTAAATATGTTGCATAGCATCTGAGATTGTTCCTTTATTATGTCAATACGATACTGGAACTGCGGCATCAGTGCCAAATTAGTGAATAGAATAACGAGAGATTTTTAATCAATTGACAAAAAACTGATTAATTGAATCATGTTTCAGTCATTTTTCAACCAAAAATATCAAACCTGTCTGGATTCAGCTTCTCAAATGTGAGGATTTTCAGTTTTTCCATTGTAAACACTTCTTTTGGTCGAACAAAACAAGACAGTTGAAGGCGGCGCATTGGGCTGTACAAAACGGTGGGGTTTTTTATGCAAGTTTTGGGACATTTTATGGACCAAACAATGTAACTATTAATTGTAAAAATACAGAAAAAGGCAGATGAATTTCTAATGAAAAGAATCAATAGTTGCAGTACATTGAGAGTATAAACATTTACCAACAACTTTGTTTCGTTACGTGTAACAGCACGTGACAACTCAATGTTGTCTTAACAAAAGCAGCCGCACAACAACTTTGCCACAATACAATTGTATAAAACGGACAATGTTATGACTTCAATCTGAAAATATCCAATCAAACAATATGTAAAAAAAAAAAAAAATGACACCTAACAAAGCACTCAAACCTAACTTTCAAGGCATGTTTCACTACTTGTTCAGTAGTCAGCAAAGTACAGAGGTCTGATACCCGGCCCGAGTGGCAGGTTGTGGATCCAGTAGTAACTTGTGGGTGTAACTGCTCCACTCGACTCATACAGCCTGATTCATTCTGTTATATCGGATGAAGTCATGGACTAATTATATATTACTGGACATGACTCAGGCTGGCTTATGTCACGTAGTTATTGGTAGTCCTCCTGCGTCATGTTGCACTCCCTCACCCAGCCCATTGCCCTGTTAGTGCTGGCTCTGGTGCTGCTGGCACTTCAGAACAGCCTCATCTATCACGGGAAACGGCTCTGAGAGAATTAGCTCAGCCAGAACAGAGCGCAAGGCAGCTACACCACCCATGCATGCGGAGGGAGGGGAGGAATAGCCGGAGGAGTGCGGTGCTCAATGCGGCTGCCCGAGGTTGACAGAATAGGAATAAGAGGTTGACGGGAAGCCAAGGTCACGTGCTGAAGCAACGGCTGGCAGAGTGGTGGTACTGGTGGTGGGAGGGACGAGAAACACAAGCAGCCTTTTTTTTTTTTTTTCCCTCTCTCTCTCGCTCTCTTTTTGTATCTGTCTGGTCGTCTGAAGGCACACTGGCAGTGCAGTGCAGTGAAGCTTGTTCTAGGACACACAGTAATACTGCTGAATTATTGAACAGTGGTGAGTGGATGTGACACAGGTCAGCAGGCTGCAGAGGGACAGGAGAGTGTGAGAGGGAGAGAGTACCTGAGAAGAAAGTGTTTGTGTACAAGATGCAATAAGTTGGATTCACAAACATTCACATTCACACAATCAGAGCTTGAGGCTATGGCTGATATTGATATTTGAGAGATTAAAAGATCTGATGTCAATATATTAGCTAATGACATAAACAAACATCAACATTTTCAATCTTATAAATGTTGTTATTTGGACCAAGATATAGTATGTACTGAGCAGGATTTGTCAGTGCCCTCTGGAAGACGGTATGTAATGGTGATAAAGCTGCACCAGTTTATTACTCAATTACTTTATTACTCTGTGCTTAGCAGCTTTTCAGCAAAAGTTTTCCTGGTTCCACCTTCTCAAATGTTAGGATTTGATGATTTTCTTTGCCATACATGACAGGAAATAGTTTTAGATTTTGGACTGTTGGTCAAATAAAGCAAACAATTTCAACCCATCACATTGGGCTGATCGGTTGCATTAATCAATAAGGACAGTAATCAACACTTGCAGCCGTAAATGGCGACAGTGTTATGAAATGACCTCGAATATATTTACGGTGTTTCTGCTCTATATTACTTATCAGCCAACATTGTATGTCCATACTGATGATGTCTCCGTCATTAGCTAAAATCCGCTGATTGTATTGGTCATCCATATTTATCAGTCAGGCTCCAATTATAATTAAGGATGTCATTTACCTGCTTGTTTTTTCCCCTGATCTGTATCGGCTTTTAATATGTTACTGAAAGAGTCGGATGAGATGTGACATTAAGTACAATGTGTGCTCTCTCTTATGTCCCTATATATGCCCAATAACGGCAAATAGACAGTATACGACTGGTGTGAAAGTTTAATTTGGCTTGCTGTTGGGGCGACAGGAGGTCTTGTCTGGATTTTCTGTACTGGTGATCATTCTGTGTTTTAGGGTGTTGGTTTGACATTCCCCGAGCTCTCCCCTCAGCTGTCCCCACTTAACTAGTCCCTGAGCAGAGCTAGAACTACAAAACATGGGAAAAATGTAAAAAATGCATGACTCCTCCTCCGCCGGCTCCCTGCCCCCTGGCCCCTGGCCCCACCCTTCCAGTTTAGGTTACTAGGAGACCAGATATTGGCCCCAGAATGAAAGAATCAAAGCCTTCAGGAGTGAGTGGTCGGACAACTGAAGAAACGTCTTGTAAATGTCTTATTAGCACGAAAGCCAGCCTGCTGTCGCAGCCGAAGCACTGGTTGTTGTGTGAGGAAATATTTACATGACATTTGTTTTGTGCAAGTGTCTACAGACAGTGTGTTTACCTCCTGTCTGCAGTGTGGTTGTAAAGGTAGAGTTCATTACGGCGGTGCTGTTGTCACCAAAAACACAAGGACAGAGCTCGTTCTCATATCCATTCATTATGAAGCCAGCTGATTTTTAAGTCACTGTATCTGTTTCCCAAATCCATGGTACATACTCACTCTAGGCAATATTTCAGTGCAGTGTGTTGACGCTGGTGACAAAATACATTGTACTGAGCAGGCAGTGGACAATATTCTCCTACCATGCAATGCACACATTCAAATGGAAGAGCTGCTCACAGCTGCAAACAATGAATTGTGGATGGTGGTGAAACAGCTCCAGGAACACCTCCCAAACCCCCCCTCCCAAAATTCTTGTTGTCTCTTTAAGTATAATTGTTAGTGTTACTCGAAAGTCGCAGTTGGCTTGCCTTGTGCACGGTGCCCGTATTGCTTCATTTCCTGTCAGTATAGAACAGTAAAGCATGTTGGTTTCTTGCACACTCCCTGCAAAGAGCTGTATATAGTGAATACTGTCTACCGTTGGCATGTGATTGGCCATGAGCTTGTGTGTCAATCTGACATAATGTATAGACTCCACACACATTCTTATACTTTTGTCCTCTTCTTTGTCTCCTGCAGTCGTACTTTGTCACCGACTATGACCCCACAATTGAAGACTCTTATACCAAGCAGTGTGTGATTGACGAAAGGGCGGCCAGGCTCGACAGTAAGTGCACTTGGCTGAACAAACATGACGAGAATAAATACACACACACACACACAGACTGCACATGCAGTCTATTTGTATGTTTCTAACACATTGTACTTGAGGAATTGATGGCAAAAGTCTATTTTGCTGAATGTTATTCTTTGTTAGTGATTTGTGATGTCGTGTGTGTGTGTGTGTGTGTGTGTGTGTGTGTGTGTGTGTGTGTGTGTGTGTGTGTGTGCACGTGCACGCTCTCTCTCTCTAGTCCTCGACACGGCTGGACAGGAAGAGTTTGGAGCCATGAGAGAACAATACATGAGGACAGGGGAGGGCTTCCTGCTCGTCTTCTCAGTCACTGACAGAGGAAGGTGAGTGACAGTTCTCGTCATGTGCAAACTCGCAGCTACAAGTGCACTCCTCTGTCTTTCTCTCTCTCTTTCTTTCTGTTTGCCCATCTCCGTTCACAGCTACACACTTTCTTTCACTCCTCCTCTGCCTCTCGCTCTACCAAGACCGTAAATCTTGAACCGATACTCTCACTTGTTGCCGCTTGTACTTCCGGACCCCCTTTGCTGTTGTTCTTGTCGTTTTCTTTTGTTCTTAACATTCCACCCTCGCCCTGTTCTCTTGAATTCACTTTATCCGTGTACCTTAGCTTACTCTTTGAAGCCCATGCACCATTTTCCACAATAGCATGTGGGCTGGTATAGAGATATCTTACATATACAACTTTTGAAATCTTCATAACGCAGACTTTATTATAGCTTGTGTTAAGCATTAACAGACTTTTTAACTGCTTAAACCCCACTGACCCACTGGTGAGTAAGAGGCATGCTGTGCAGCTAGAAAATTGTTCAAACTTTATTTTAGACTTTAGTTAAGACACCAAATATGTCAGGTTGAATTTTGGGGAAATGTTTATATAAAGATGCACAATATATCTAGAATTTTTCCACATATCTTGAAGTAATGATGCAATCGTACTGTAAAGCAGTCTTGGGTTATCTTTCATTTAATGTAAACATAATTTAGCTTCCATAAAGAGGAGGACCAAGCCAATGCGGAATATACAGTATATAATACTGTCAAACGGTGATGATGATTTTTCTCCCAAAATTAAAGCTAAAATCTTCATGATCATAGATTGTAATCTTTAATATTTCTGTCCTGGTAACACCTGTGTTAACTGTGATATGGCAGGTGTGATTTAATACTATAGCAAACTCTCTTCGAGCTGCGCGTCTTTGTCAGAAATACAACAGAAAAGCCGCTGGTGCACCTGTTTACAACACAATCAAGCAAACGTGTTTTACTAAACTGAAGACAGTGAAGAGTAAACAGTGAGACTGTCATCAAAATAAAATCGAGATTAAAAACTGCGCTGGATTATCAGCAAGCAATGGCGGACTCCGCCACTACCAATATAAACTTCTACATAGAAAGATGATAACTGAATGTAAATACATTAATTGTCTTTTGCAGGAGAAACGCAGGCCAATAAAATAGCATCAAAGAATCAGAGTTAATTTCATAGAAATCTTGAAAATTAGACGATTAAATATATTTGCGTGATTTTACTGCAATCTGATGTTTTGGGGCTTAAGCCACCTTGTTTTATTACACATATAATATTCTTCAGTTACAGCCCATCCTCCCTGTCTTTGTGTCCCTGCCCAGCAGTGCAGTGGGCTGCATTCCCCTGCCCCCAACTCACAACCCCCTCCCAATGTTTATGTAGTAAACAGTCTTTCCTTCCTCCATTTATACTAGTCAAGTCTTTTCCAGATTTACTATGTGCTCACCAAGCTGTCTGCGGGCCCGTGGCTGGAATGCCGTCCTGGGTTTGTGGCTGCATTCTGCCCCCCCCAGATTGACATTTTTATTTGCTCATGGCCTTTATGTTATAGTGGGACCACGGTCAGTTCAGTGCACAGAGCCAACCTCAAACAAACACATTTTATGTTCTGTAACAGTGTGGCTGACTTTTTATTTTCTATTTGCTGACACGTTCAACCCTTCAGTCTGATCCACAGCGGCAGCGACCCCAACTTCTGTGTTTGTGTGCGTGTGTGGGTCATTCAGCTCCATTGCGATGTCGGGCACATGGGCATTTTGAGATGAATGTATGCATCTACCCATTCAAAACCATTATATAACCTGTTTGTGTAGAAAACACCACATAACACCAGGTAATATGTTTTACAGCTTTGAAGAAATCTACAAATTCCAAAGACAAATCCTCCGAGTTAAAGACAGAGATGAATTCCCTATGATCCTTGTAGGAAACAAAGCAGATCTGGAACTACAGAGACAAGTAAGTCCAACACATTGCAGAGATATGAACCCACTGACTGACAAACATTCACCCTGTTTGATCATCTGAAGAGATGATATCGACTGGAGGATTGACATTTGCATACTTGAAAGTGGAAGCAAGCGTTGCAGCTGCAGCTCGCTGCCAAGATACAGCAGGATGTGAGTGAAAGAATAAAAGTGATTCTGTAGAAATGGTGGTGTCAGGAGGGGAGGATGGATAGAGAGAAAAGGGAGTGTGATGAAATGATGAATTTTCTGCCTGTTGGCATGCAGTCGCTCATCACTTCCTGCAGTGAATCCACACCACCCCCTTATGGTGAAAACGAGCCTTACAGGCACACATAGCTAAGTACTGTCAATGGGTTTTATTCACTGAAATCAACATTTAGCATTTCAAGCCTAATGGAATTGTTCTATTCTTCTACAAGAGATGTGTAGATGCTAAAGACATTAAATAGGACAACATGATAGATAATGGTAATACCACATAACCTAATTAGCTTGACCGTAGCTCTGTTATAGAAGCCTAAACACAACAAAAATGTAACAATTTAAGTGTAAGTAATGGTATAGTTACCATGAATAGATTTCTGTCAAGTCGTGTACATCTTCCCCCATGTCATTTTCAAAAAAATGCTTCATTTATAGTGTGGAAGGACAATGTTGTCCCAGAGTACTCTATGAATTGAGAGGGATTTTGGCATTGGGAGGAGAAAAAAACGTGGCATGACACATTACCATGCCTGACCGACTTAAAATGGGTGTAACTTTAATATATTTAGTGTTAAAACTGCATATTGCCACTGATTCTATGGCACTTTGTGAAAATCTCGTCGAACAAGCCACTGAGGAAGGCTGAACGGAAACGTGTGAAGGCTCAGGAGAAAGCCTGGTCAGGTCGGAAATTAAAGTGAAATTTGGGTGTCGATGTAAACACTTCCATGAATACATTTTTAGCAGAGAGAAGAAGCTTCTACAGGTAGGAGGAAACATATGTATTTTTGATTTTGAGGTGAATTGTCCCTTTTAAACGATAAGACTTTACAAAGTCATAGGATGCAGTTCAGCCACTATTTGTATGTAGTATTACATCACAGACGTGTATGTGCACAAACAGAGCATGCCATCTAACAAGCTCACATTTTACATTAATATGACATTTGTTGCAACTTTACTTAAGTGCTTCATCGCTACAGAAGTTAACACTACATTCAGGTTTCAGCCCATCATTATTCTCTCCTTCCTCTTGCCTCAGGTAACCCAGGAAGAGGGCCAGCAGCTGGCCAGACAACTGAAGGTCACATATATGGAGGCTTCAGCCAAAATTCGTATGAACGTAGACCAGGCTTTCCACGAGCTGGTTAGAGTAATCAGGTAGGTGATTTATAAATGCAACTTTTACATTTTGTCCTTTCAGTGACTCACATTTGCAAAGGCAAGAAAGATGGACATTCGGGCACTCCTGTAATAGCTGTTAATAATGCAGAATACAGTGAAGGTTTACTACATTGTTTCATTAAATATTAATGACTCAGGGTGGCCTGGTGGCGCCTTGGTGGCCTAGGGATTAAGTCGATGACCGTGAATCACAACCTGCCTGGTTCTCTTCCAGCCAGGGACCTTTGTTGCATTTTTCCCTTTTCACTTCTCTACTCAGTCAGCTAGTCAATAAAGACATGGGATCCCCCCAATAGATGATTGATGAACGATACAAAAATATATACAAAAAAATGCCTAAATCAGCAACAATATAACTTACCAAGTTTTGAATAACAAACAACTTAAGGTATTATTTATTTAGAGCTTAACAAGACTCAGCTTATCTGCCTCATCAAGACTGTGTGTGTGGTTTGATCAGATTTGATTGACAGTCGCCTGGCAACATGAGCAAACACTCCAACAAATGTCATCACTTTTTGATTCAAATATTACTTCTGAATGGTAGAAGTAAAGATGTGATTCTTTTTGCGCCTCGGCCACTTTGAACCAGTCAGATGAAGCTAAAAGATAAAACGGCACTGACAGAAATCTCAGAGAAATGAACAAACCGTTCTAAATTTGTTTGGAAACTCAGTTTCTGTCATTTGTGTTTCAAACAAAAGAAAAAGAGAGATCACAAATGTACACAGTCCAGTGTGTCATGATAGTTTTACTCTCTCCCAACTCCCAGGAAATTCCAAGAGCAGGAATGTCCACCCTCGCCAGAACCTACAAGAAAAGAGAAAGACAAGAGCGGCTGCCATTGTGTGATCGTCTGAGGCGGCCTTATCACTGTAACTCATGCAGCTACTCTCTACCACCCCGCCCACTCTGCCTAACATCACATCCTAAGTGGATGACTGACCGCTGCCTTCTCCTCGTGCATGACTTCAGACAGCCTTTTCTGAGATACTTTGACCAGGAAGTGCTGTCCCCAGGACATCACTATGGACAACTGACAATGCCAAATTTGAACACCACTCTACCTTCAGCCGTAATCTAATTCACACGAGAGAGTCCCAACACTAAACATTGCCTTCCGAATCAGCCTGACAAATTAATGTGTTGTACTCTGAAGGACTTCTCTTGCCTTGTAGTGACATTTGTACTTGCTACCGAGATTGAATGAAAACTATATATCCAGAATGTTAATGAGTTTCTTTAGTTTCCAGCGTCTAAACCAGAGCAGAGCGATTATCTTATGAAGCTTTGTGTATGTCGTGCCATATCCTCCTTTTACTCCCATGTGCTAATCTGCTACTGTACATATGTGACATTTGTTGTGATTTTCAAAGTGTACTTCTAATGATCTATTAAATCACCACAGTACAGTGTGTGAGGTTGGTTTTACATATATGAAAGTGAATATATATATATATATATATATATATATATATATATATATATATATAAAAAAAAAGCCTAGACAGCCCTTAAAGCTACAATGATAGAACTTTCTGGCATTTTGCAGTGGATTCTTCTTCTTTGTCTGTGGTTTCGGCTTTCATCTCAACTATGAAGTGTCTACTGTGTTTGATTTATTTCCAAAAGTCTTATAGATTGAAGCCTTCTTATCCAATGCCATCTCCTCAATGTACAGAAAGTAGCAAATGTGTCTGAATTTCTTTCTTCGAAGGTGGCGGTTCAGTCGAAATTGGACATCAGATTTCTGAGAAGCAGTAGATGCATTTCTTGGTAGCACATTGTATATCTTTGACAACTAACATGATTTCAGATCAAAACACTGTATGCTCTATATTCAACTCTTGGCAAGTACTGTCATCAAATCAATTTGTTGCAAATCAAGACGCTTTCAGAGTTCAGTTCAGATCATTCCATTGTAATGAATCTCCTCTGTCAAACATTTAGTCTACGATTTAGATCAAATAACTGTTCTATCATTCCAATAACACAGTGGCAATGTATTTGTTTTGTGTCCCTCAGTTGTTCTATTACATTACTTTCCCCCCCCCCCCCCCCAATGATCGGTCTCTTGGAAAAACCAGGACAAGTGGAAGCGTTGGGATGCACATCGTAAAACAGTTGTTCTACTCTAATGGGACATGAACTCAACCGGACCTGCCACCTGTGGAGCTCTCATCACCACAGACACGAAGCACTGTTCTGCCCTCCCTTCCCACTTCTGTACTTCTGTTTGGGCTTATAAATGAAGTACTGCAGTTTGTTTTTCATATTGTCATCCTGTAATATAAACTACAAGAAAATCAGATGATGGAAGTAACAAACTTGATTAAATGTTTCTACTCTACTTTTATACATTATTTTCTTATCAAACTAGTTGACAAGTATTTTTATATGTTTATAAGTGAATACACATTCACAGCATAGCTGTGTATATATGTAAAGAGGGATATTTAATTATCTTAATTATTTTAATCTGAGGAGGACTGTTGGCCCAAAAATTTACAAAATCGAAATTCTTCACCCAGATGTGACCAAGAATGTTGTTTCTTCTTGTGGCTTAATAATGGAGAATATATTGATATTTGAGTTGTTTACCACCAGCTCAGAGCGGTAAAATGCTACATAAGAGCCTAAAATCACATGGATGAACTATTATAATCACTGAGATTTGAAATACCTACTTCCCATCTTAATCCAAATCCTAGTATACATCCAAATCATACTGTTTTTTTTCTTCCATATCGATGTCTTTGCCCTGTGTCTAGCTTTTGGTGCTACAATAAAATCTGTCATTGAGCCAGATGGGGTAGAGAATCTTTATTTTAGATTTAAAAAGCTGCACAGACCTGAATCTTACATACTGAGCCTTGTGTCAGTGGGTTTCATTATTATTCATTTGTTTTCTTCGTGTTTTGGGATCATATTTATTGGAATTCCCAAAATACTTTTGGCCTACTGTTGAATTTGGCTGCCACGGCATCCATCTAGTGTATATAGATTTACTTTTTGGGAGGCAATATAATATTAATATTACACTACATATTACAAAAGACAGACAATACTTACGTGGTCGGATTCCTGACATTACAGACACATACATGCATTTGACAACAAGGGGATTATTTTGACCACGGAAATGTTGAGACATAAAGATGGGTGATAAATTAAAAGACAAAGATGCAACATAAAGAGTTTTAGTAAGGGCCTATCAGGAGCAGCTTCAGTGCTCCTTGGCATAGTATCTGCACGTCTCTACTGAAGGGATTAACACCATTCTTCCAAAAGATATTCCTTCATTGTGTGTTTTGATGATGGTGATGGAGAGCACTGGCTAACACATCAGTCCAAATTGTCCCATATGTGTTCAGTTGGGTTGAGATCTGATGATATGAAGTCCATATATACGACTCACATCATTTTCATCTGACTCAAACTATTATATGTGCATGCTAATTTTTGTCTTGTGGGGGCCATCTGGCCATGCGCTCATCAGTAGTATTCCAAAAATAGTCAAACCATAGAGATATTTGCTCCTTCAAAAAAGTGGACATGGAAAAACACATTTTCTTATTGTAATTTTGTCCTCTATTGGCAGAATATAATATAGACAAGAGAAAATGAGGTAAGTAAGGTTGAAGGACCTCCACAGCTCCGGGAGAGATACAGCACATTAGTAGATAGTGAACTGTGATTCACAGAGTGTTGAAATGGCAGCACAAGAGGATTTCCTGCATACCCTTTGCACTCATTTTCACCTTTCTTCTCGGGTTCACCTTATGATCGGTTGTATTAGAGTGCCTCAATGTTTGCACAACACCACAGCTATGCAGACATCCAATTAGTGATCTTAGAGAAGCAGGGGTCTTGAACTGCATCCAATAAGCAGTGAGCCTGATCCTGTGAAAAATATGAATTGGGCCTATTCAAATTTGCATTGAATAGTATCCATGACCAATTTCTTATTAAGAGTGGACACATCCACATACACTTTGCTTCAGCGTTTGAAAAATAAAGGAACAGATCTGTGTTTTTTAACGATCTACCATCTGCCTTTTTTTAATCAGCAAATGGGTGAAAAGGTTCAGTGTTTGCTCTCAAGCAGTGCACAAGACGCCGATAATCAAAAATGAACAAATCCCAGTTTCATACGCTCGTTCAATTAGACTGAAGTCCGTCCGAGCCTGTATTGACACGCAGGACACAGTCAGTAGGGTAAAAATCTATCAGCGTTGTGCGTCCGCGTGAATGAAACAAATCAGCATCCTCGCACGCACCGTGAGCTGACGCTCGCGCTCCCCCTCTCTGTGGTGGTATAGCCCACAGGAGAGCGTCTGGCTCTGCACAGCCTCTCTTGCTCATTCACTTCACGGCGATTCCTGTAGTTCGTCTTTTGCTTGTGCTTCAGTGAGGACGGAGAGAGGAGCGTTTACGCTTTCATTTTGCCGTCTCACCAGCCAGTCCATTCCGTCCAGTAAGACATGGAGGGAGTCAGCAGCAACAGGAGCATGTCTTACAGTAGGTGGAGTTATGACAGGTAAGCGAGCTTCCCCCATATTGACAGGTCTACGATTCAAACGCTTGTTTTCAATTTTTGCGTTTCGTTTGTATTGTCATGCTAGGCCGATATAGTTAAGGTTGGTGGGACCCCCCCTCATGCGCAATTAGTTGACAGGTTCAACGGATTTGGAAACGGGAGATGTAATGTGAGTGTATTAAGTAGCCTAAGCATCATACTGTGTCTGCTGGCAGATACACTGGATGTCTGCTTCACTACCTGTATGTCCATGTTTTTTTGTTTTTCCATTTTCATAATAATCAAGAGGTTTATCTA